ATCATTAGGGTTAAAAATAAAATTAATTTTTATATTTTTATATAAATTAATAAAAATAAATATATAATTAATGTGCCCTTATTGTTTATCCTAACACAAACCCTTAAAACTAAAGTTCCATTAAAATTCATAGCGGTAACCCCAATCAAATGTTACCGTAAGTCTTTGCTCCTACCAATGGGCAGGTTTGAATCAAAGGGTTTCGCACATTAGAAATGGTTACCCACGGCCGTATTCTTAACAAGCAAGTAGCATCAAGTTTTGCCAAATCTATTAGCAGCAAAGAATGATCCTTCTCGAGCGTCATTTGGTGTTTGTGAAACATCCACCTATGGCCTTTTTTTGTTGCACGTCAAAGAAATTTTATTTCTTGGGTACAAGAGCACCTATTACATGACAATCCGAATGAGTTTTGGTATTTAAGGGGTGTTTCAACTACTTAAAAGCATTAGATTTTAAATTGAAGATTTTGATTTTAAATTTTGAAATAAAAGAAAATAGATTAAAGGAAGGGAGGACAACACACGTTATATAATTTATCATTTAATGTGAAAAAAAAAAAAACAAAAAAGCAAAATCCAACCTAACTATGTATTAGCCAATTAACCAATCACATCCTCGTCATCCAACAATATAATTCGGCAGTAATCTGCCAGTCAACGTCGCTTCCCAGCATCCTACCCTTCTATGTCTTAAGCTTACTGTTCATGCAAAATCTTGGTTCCAGAAGCTAATCAGAAATATCGCAAAATGCCAACTTACCTCTGACTTTTAACCACTGGAAGTATCAATTCAAACATCCACTTGTGGCTATGTGGGGAATATGGCCCAACCTTGAGAAATACACACAATATATAGGGTAATACAATTTCAATATAGGGAGGAGATATGGGGGCAAATAGTAGACGTAAACCAGCTGTATGATCCAATTTTCCATTTAAATTTATTAACTTTGATATTCCAATACAATTTTCAATGATCAATATCAGGTACCCTTACCAGGAGGGAAGGATAAAGTCATGAATAAGTACGAAGTGATCAGGAAAATCAACGAGTAGAAATTATGATAATTGATAACAGAATGAATTCAACAAATGTTGGGTTTTGTTTATTACTGCTGCATTGTGATGTAGTCATAAAT